CTATTCAATGTCACTGACTTCTTGTATAATAACATTTGATCTTGGAACAAATACATGTATATTTCAATATAAAGACATAGGTTAATGAGATGGAAAAGTAAGCGCTTGGGAAAAATGTATTTATTAGACAGAGCTGGGAGAGAGAAGTATAGAGAGGGAAAAGGGGGAGGGGAAGAAAGTATGTGGTTGCAAGATGCAAGAAGTGTCTACAACAAAAAACACTGGTATTCAGAATGAAAGGATTAATAAATGCTATAAATATAGACTTAGTCGACTGTTCCATTTTGGTGTCATTTGCACGTCCAATTAACCTTCCCCACTGATTTTTAAAACACTTTGAGAAAAAATATATCGCTTGGTGTTTTGTGTGCATGACATTTACGTCAAAAGCGAATGTAGGCGAGTCAAACAAAATGCATGGTATGCGTCAAATGTGAAACCAGGTCTAACTAATTATTAGTGCAAACCATCTAAAACTATTTCAAAAGGTGTGATACCATTTTCCTATAAGTATGCTTTGCCTAAAAGAGAGTTATGACAGCTGACTGTTTGTAATATTATACGTGTGTCTTTCACAATATTATGTAGAGCAATGCTTTCAAAGGGAAATTTCATGTGTTCAATTATAAATGCTTACATCTAAAACTGTTTCAAAGGATATAAAACCACAAGAACTATATTTTGACAGTATTTTAATTACCTACGTAGGCGAAAATATGTCAAACACAATGTAAAGCAATTCAACCAACGAGAAATTGGGTCTACTAGATTGTTAATGTCTACAAAAGGTGTAAGACCATTTCCCCATGTATTTTCTGTCTTAAAGATGGTTTTGAAATGCTGATTGCTTGTAATTAAAGCCCCCTATAGTTTGAAATAATTTTGGCAATATGACATTGACTTAAATATCGTACGTAGGCGAGTGTAAGTAAAACACAATGTTAAGCAAATGCATATACCGGTAAAAAGGGAAATTGGGTCTGCTCAATTATTGTGCAAACCTTCTAAAACAGTTACTATTTCAAAGACCATTTCCCTAGGTATGCTTTGCTTAAAAGAGGGTTATGAAAGCTAAATGCTTGCTATAAAGGTTCCCATATTTTGACAAAGTTGTGACAATATGACATTTACTTAAACACCGTTCGTAGGCGAGAGTGTGTCAAGCAAAATGTATACGTGTATAGTAAAGCTTACAAAGGGAAATTAGGTCTGCAAAATTATTGGGGTAAGCCGTCTTAAGCAACTCTTAAGCATTCAGAAAATCATGCGTGGAGAAGCACAGAAAGTGCTATGATAGCTCTCTATACAAATTACCACTTTCGATATTTTGGCAGGATTTTGACATTTTGACATTTAAATGGGAAGCATGCGACATGCGAGTTCAATATGTCAGTAAAGTGTGTGAAAGAGGGTGGGGTTCATGCGCTCAATAATTATTAGATAAACCATCTTAACCAAACTTGAACTTTTACAAGAACTTGCATGCATGTACAAGATCGTTTCCTTGAAAAACTATAAGTAAAAATAGAAGCGGGATGGGAAAGCTGACTGCATCATTCAGACCTCTTAAAATGTTTTTACCGTACTTATGACTATGGTAAGTATTTTCCTGCGTACGTAGAATATCTCACAAGAAGTCAAAAAATAATTGTTGAGCAATGCGTTATATGAAAATACTTATTGCTAACTTATTAATGTAAACGAATCCAGAGCCTTCTAGAAAGAAAAAGGCATATAAGCATAGGGCATGAACATTGTCTTGTTTTGCAAATAAAGGTTAAAGGTACTATGTCCCTTTTGCAGCCAACCTCAAATTCTGTAGAACTGTGCAGGAATTATGAATATGTCATGTATGTCCTATCTGTGAAATTTAAACGTTAGCAGTGTCCTCATATTCAAATTATGCAAGGAAACCCGTTTACTTGTTAGACTTCACTGTCAGACACTATTGAGTGACTGACTGGCTTTTTTTCTTCTTTGTCAATAACATACATGAAAAGAGTTGTAAAGGGTACATGATCATTTGTCTACATCAACAACCCACTTCTTGTGATGGCCAAGATTAAACTGATTGAATCTTTGCGCAGCATAAAACGTATGACCATTCGGTACAATTGTCTGAAAATCAAGACTATTACTTTTGGGCTCTATAGCCCTAAAGTCGAATTGACAACTAATAGTCGTTATTTTCCCACTTGAAGACATTTTCAAACCCCACCTTTTTTAGGGAAGTTCTAAATTAGTATTATCTTTCAAATGCAGTTGGAATTTAACATTTTCATTTTTGGGGCCTGCAAATGGGTCATAGTACCTTTAAGAAAAACTCTAATCACACATGTGCGGGGCGTCATTTGGCTGACGCAACACTGCGTCGTTGACTTGCGGGGTATATAACACACAATGTGAGGATGACATCGAAAACGAAAGTTAATGTAAAGTAAACAGCGTAAAGAGTAGAGTGAATTACTGGCGTACGGGCTGGTAGACTTTACAAGTTTGATTAGCGCAAGTAATAGCGCAATCGAATTGACGCCCCGTGTGCAATTTTGACGTATAGAAATTGTATGACATATTCCGTTTACCTCCCTTATCTTGCTGTTTGTTTTTAATGAGAACACAACGTCAAAACACAGGGATTTTGTTGGGCTTCCCGCGATGACAAAATGATGACACGTGGTTCCGTGAAAAACACCTCTCCTTTCCTTTCTTCGGGGTTCGGGGTTTAACGACAAAAAGGCAAACAAAGTCAAAACAGTTTTGACGGAAAATTAGAGGTCATAATTCAATTAGTCAAAATAGGGAAAACGCCACCTTGAATAACCCGGCGCACCCTCCCATCGGCGTGGGCAAGTCTTAGGGCAAATGGGGGTGTGAAGACGACTGACTGTCGCAAAACACTACAAAAGCAAAAGCAAGGTTCTATAAATATTGTGGTTTCGGGTTGTACGGATGCATTGAGGAAACATTATGATTAATGGTTTTACTACAAGACTTTGACGCGGAACAAAATGACAACAAATGACAACTTCGTACACCTACTGGCTAATAACGACACTACAGAGATAGCCCACTGGCGTGTATTGAGGAGACAATAAAGTTATACTAAAATACGGTTTTACTACTAGACATTGACAAGGAACAAAATGACAACAACAAATTTAATGACAACTTAGTACGCCTACTGCTACAGAGATAGCCCACTGGCATCTTTGTCTTTTCGGGATCCATTCTTTTTAATCATGCTAATGGTAGGGAGGGGGCGTTATAGTCTCGCAGCATTAATTTTACGAAGTTCGATTTTTCTTCCCTCTACGTACGTTTTAGTGTAGAATAAGGGGAGTGACTGGATTGGAATGTTATAGGACTTTTATATATGACCCATTTGAATTTGTTAATAGGCCTATATAATTGTATATATTTTCATTAAAACAAATTATTCAAAAAATTTACTAGTATAAATTATTAATTTTCATCTTTGCTCCTTATAACTGTGTATATGCTTTGCGTTCGCTTCCAATCACCACCCTCTTTCATCTTTCTTTCTCTCTCTCTCTCTCCCTCCCCCCTCTATCTCTCTCTCTCTCCCTCTCCCTCTCTTCCACCTCTTTTCTCTCCATCTGTCTACCCTCCTTCAGTCTCCACTACGCCCCTAAGCAAGCCATATTGTGTGCAACTTTTATCTATCACTTCTCAACTAAGTTTTCTTCACTGCCAATCCCTCATTCCCATTGAACAATCTAGATGTACTTATATCTAAAATGCAATTGCGATGACAAAATGGAAGACCGAGTATAGCGGTGAATGCATATAATCCTAACATGATGGAAACTCCAAACCCAAAGACATGGTGTGTGGGGGATCCCGACTTCAGCCTCGTGCATGTACGGAACAAACGAATCGGCGGTCGTGACCCCGGGGTGGGTCGTCGGGGGACGGAATAATGGCTTTTGTTTGATTTTATGACTCATCGATTTACCTTCATCAAATACAAACTATAAAGTCCACATCGAGTGTGCGGTAGCAGAAATAGAGATAGACTTACAAATGTAAAGCGAAAGAAGGAGAATTAGTTATGTAGTCATGAATTGGTGCCATTAATGAGTGCTTGAAACCGGAGATAATGACTGGTGATGACTAAAAGAAGAACACATGTTATGCAAAATAGGCCTAGGACATTCTACCTATATAGTTGATAGAGAGAAGAAAGGGTAACAATGCGACGGTAGCCACCTTTTCAGTTGTGTTTTAATTATCAGTATGTCTACTTCCTAGCTAGGGAGGAAGAGAGAGAGAGAGAGAGAGAGAGAGAGAGAGAGAGAGAGAGAGAGGAGAGAGAGAGAGAGAGAGAGAGAGGGGGGGGGGGAGAGAGAGAGAGAGAGAAGAGGGGGTAAGGCGGAATCGAATGAAAACAGAATGACATTCTTCAAAAGTTAAAACTATGACGAACTTTTGTTTAATATTCAGATGCATACCGTATCAGCATTATTTTTGTTATTATTCCCTGACTTTCTCGAAAGCCGTTCAGCATACCATTCACCCACCCTCAACAAAGCTTGTCTAAAGCTCTGGGACCCCATTGCTGTCATCGCTGCCAAATTTGACGATAGAATATCGACGAGTTTGGAGTCAATGGCCGCTCCTGAAACTTAGGTGGTTACTCCCGAAACACACGATAAGCCTTCCCTAAAGCTCGCTGATATTTTGTAATAAAAAAAAAATGAGGCGACATAATACCAGTGATGTATTCGGAACCAACAACAAATTGAAATTGCGCTTCAGAAGGGGCAGGATTTACTTCTAAGGGAACATGAAGAAATGAAAACCTAACCTATCACGTAAACATGAAAGAATGAAAATAATAATACCGCCTACGACTACTTTCTTTTTCTTTGACATCATTGCTGCGATCGTCCGTCCGTCCGTTCGCTCGAACGCCGACGCACGCGTCTGCTACAAAATATCGTCTGCAACGCATTGCAATTACACACTCAACGCTGAAATCGCGCGAAGCTTTTAGCTCACAAATTTCTTCGCCTTCCATAAATCACTCCTGATCATTTTTCTTCGAGCAGACATCAGTCATCGCTTCGTTCCATGCCGAAGCAAGCCAGCCAGGAATCAAGCTGAATGGATTGAGTGGAATTAGTCACACCTTGGTAAGCTTGGGATTTAACCAACTGACCGCGGTCAGATTTTGTCCAATATTTCGACACCTGCGACTGGATTTTTTTAGAGGACCAATTTTCTTTTCTCAGAGCACGCCACGAAACTCGACCAGAAATATCATCCATCAATTCATTCGAGTGGATCGTATAGAAATATATTAATCCCATTACAAAAAGTACACACATTTTGTTTGCAGCCGAATTTCCATTGGCAAATATGCAATTCCAAGACCGTGTGGAACTAAACTGAAAACAATATTGTCAAAGGAAATAGTTTTGTATGACAGTTTCACGCTTCACTTCTTCAGCTTAGGCCAGTTTAAGGTTAGCTTGGATATCGACGGGTTGCTGTCGCGATTGGACGCCAGTACCTCGGGCGGAAGGTGGCAGAAACAAAGCGGTGTTCTCCGCAGACGTGGAGTTTGTGCTTGTGGTTCCTATTTACATTTAAACGGAAATATCACAGTGACCAGTTTGGAAATCTTACAAGTTGCTGAAAACGAGGAATATTTCCGGTACGTATTAATTTATTACCATGATACCAAATTTATTCTTTGACAAAGTCATCGGAATTATGACTGAACTTGCATTGTGTTACAGGCATCATATTACTCCAGCAATTAACCCACAAATGGAATTCAGTGGACTTTGATTCTTGTATCATTTTCCAAATATTATTCTAACTGGGTTTTATGAATGTGCAACTAGCATGTCGCGATATATATAGGCCTAGTAGTACAGAAATAGTTTGCAGAAAAGAGCAGCAAGGGTGTAGTATTTCATGGGTCATTTGCGTGGTAAGATCTGTATTATGTTGTTGAGCCAAAATAGTTGTAATCTTTTATACTTAGTTTGAATAAACTTTTATCTTTGATTTCACGATGTGATTATCATTCCATCAGCAGAATTTTCTTTTATGAATTGTAATCTCAAAACAGTATGTGGGAAATAAATACTTTGATATGGAATCATAATTCATATGGTAATCTCGTTTGTCGGGTTCACTTTCAATTTGGTATGGAATATGGACCAAACGAGACTGAATGGCGTTTACAGTGTGGGCTTATTAGCTCAATGGCTCTGATCTCGCTATATTGCTTCAGCATTAGGTCGGATATGGTATGTCAAATAAAGCTGTATTAAATGAATCGCCGAGGCAGTGTTTGGTCATTAAATACCTCGAAAACTACCTTGTCCTGATTTCATATTCTAAATTTTATCGAGCCCGTCTTATCTTTACCTTCATAAGTCAACCTCACGCGGAACAAAATAATGTCATTATTCATCTCATCACTGCCTATTACGCCATCAAGTAATTTAGGTTTATGGGCAGACCCTTTAACCTTCTGCAGTTAACCGACTGTAATTCAAATGACCCCATTCAGTTACACACGCATCGATCAGCCTCTTTAATGAGCTCGACTCAATCACTCCGACTGCCAATATAGTTCGAGGTCTGTGTTGATGTCATGTCATTATCATAATCGAATCCTAGAGATAGTTAGTTAAATATTAAAGCATCTCGCTATTCAACGTAGTCGTTAGTGTCATGTTATTTCTCGGAGGCAAAGTCATTATTGCAATCACAATGCATGTAATTCACAAACTCTGTAATACCAGAAAGTTAATATTCCGTAACTTGAATACCTTGTATTTCAGGTTATTCAAAAGTCACTGTACACATAATGTTATAGTTAATGTCTTTGTAAGCATTATTGACCTTCTTCATATTAGACGTATAGATGTTGATATTGCCGTCCTGATGCGATGTACCTCGAATAGCTATTGTCAGACAATCATGAAGGATCAATCTATTTTTAAATTACATCCGCCTGATCTCTTTCATCAAAACGACTTCAATAATTATCTCTCATCGATCTATCTCGATCTCGCTGGCATCACCACGAGAAAGAGACAGAGAGAAGTCCCAAGTATGATGTGCTTGCAGAGAGATCGCATGGAGCGGAATCCTGCAAACTCTGCATGCCGGGGTTCAAATTCTCGTCAATTTCCCGTACAATTTTGATCAATTGTCTCCCCGTTGAATTAGCGCAGGAAATTTAACTGTATGAAACTTCCCGGCAATATTATATTGGCAGACAGTGTGACATGCCCCAGAACGAATGAAGCGTCGAGTGATGATGATGATTGTGATATTGATATCTGGGACAAGAAATTACCAGGTTACATATTTAGAAAATTGGAAGCAAAGGTACAGAAGAAATGGTAACAATTTTCAAGGAGGCATGAGGTCAGTCAAATATCAGAACGAAGATGTGATTTCCAAAATGATAATGCATATCTCTTTCCGATCAAAATTGTGATGTTGATACGTTATCAAAAGTTATTGTTACTGTATAAAGAAGATGGAGTGACAAATCTTTGGTGTGCCAACAAGTTCGCGCAGAAATTGCCATTTGATATACCTTATTCTGTTTCATTATAGGAATTATTCATCTAATCTGTAATAGCTTTTTGTTAGGGAGAAAAGATTGTAGAGAGATAGGGCACTCACTACCTTTGTTATTCAATTTCTCATATTAAGATAATTATGATTTGATTGATGTGTTTCATTTGCAAAAGTCATGTTTTTATTTTTGCTATTCTTTATAGCCATTCTTTTATCATGATTGTGAAAATTGTGAACATTTTCTAATTGATGCGGGTGCTATATTATGAACATAACTTGTTTGCTGATAATGATGGGAGTTTCTTTCGAGATAAACGCATAATCATTTTTCACTCGCAGTGCCACTCATCATATCTATGTTGTATCAATTACGAATTCTAACAAACCACTGAATGAATGCGAGTAGTGCTGGTGTTCTTTTGAATTCGAAATATCGAACTATTGTTCAGCATTTTTTAAGGTTTATTCATTCATAAACCTGTCATTCAAAATTCAGGGGTGTGGAACTTAACGTCATGCAACGTTGTGACGAAAATTGGGTATCAACTTTTTTTTAAAGTAAACAGACACGTTTGTAGAGCATGACTGAAAATAGAAATATCTTAACCTCGATGCGAGCTAGAACCACTAATCGAATTTTGATTCGACCAGGGAGTGGTAATTATTCTTCTTGGCAAGTTCTTCTAGAGTGATTTTGCAAGATAGAAAGGTGTATTTATTGGAGAGAAAGTGAAGAAAGAGAGTGGGAAATTGGAGGGAGGGACCGAAGAGAGACAGAGAGAGAGCAGAGAAGAAATACGAAGTAGAGGAATACACACATTAAAAAAAAGGTAATTTTGTTTTATTCCTTCAATTGTGTAATACAAACATACATTGAATACAATAAATAAACGTTTTCAATATTGATTGCTTATACATAAACATGATTAAACAAAAACTCATTTGCAGTATATATATAACTGAGCCAAAATTGAAAGTAAACTTGAAGTACATTAATAATTTATAAGTCAACCGTACATATATTATTCACTTATATACAAAATATACATACACACACACCCACACACACACACACGCCACACTCAGAGAGAGAGAGAGAGAGAGAGCAGAGAAGAAAGAGGAAGTAGAGGGACACACACACACGCACACCTCTCCCCCACATACAGAGAGAGAGAGAGAGAGAGAGAGAGAGAGAGAATGGTGAAGAAATTAGAGAGGGCGGGAATTAATTTTGACTTCTGAAAAGTGACAAATAAAGTATATGGCTAAACTTAAAATTAACTCGTTGAGGTCCATTGGTGTTAATGCTCTTTTTGTGTAGACTGAAATTGGTCTTTAAAAATCTTCAACAGGACCATTCAGATTTAACATGATATTACCAGTAAAATATCACCTTGGGCCTTAAATTGTAGGCTTCGTGTCGTATTTTATCGACCACAGTATAGAGTAATAACTCGCTCTAGTGATTATTTACCCTGGCATGTTTGTTCTTTTCCCCTATTGTCCCCCGTCCTTTTCAATATCTGATACTTTTCACGATGTCATTCAAGACAGGTTACAAGCTTCGGTAGGTCGCGTTATCTATCCGTTATTATGATTCTACGGAACATAACTCTCTGCAAATCCCAAGGTTAATTTTGGAAATTTCCTAGATACGATGTATGATTTCCTGAATCTATGTTTCCTGAACAATAAACGAGCACGTTTCTGAAAGCATTATAGGTCACAATGTAAGATTCAAAATCTATTCAGCGCAGGGATATCCTTGAAGAGTATTCATAATGTGTACTTTCTGAAATATCTCACGCGTCGTTGTGAATTGTAACAAATAAAATCTTTTGTACCAGTGACTACCAGTGACTATATATCATAAAATTGACACATATTGTCAGCCTGTTTATTTGCTTTTCAACTTTGAAATATTTCCCTCTACATCTTTCTCAAGATTCGATTAAGTTGGATTTTAGTCTTCACAAAAGCCTTTTCATTCTGTAAAGGTGGATCTAAAATCTCTAATTGTATAATTTCTTGACTCGATCTTTTACTGCAGGGTAAATGGAATTGAAAGTCGGAAGTACATTATAATGAACTACTGCTCAGTTTCTCCATCTCTTTATGTCTATTTAAAGTCTTGTAAAGGCAGCAACACCAACTGAAAATATAAACAATATATCTTGAATTTGTTTGCGAACATAACTTGGTTTGTGCATAAAGTCTAAACCGACTCTCACGGTGAAGAACTTCATATTCTCATCTTGAGTTTGAATTCTCTATCTATGGTCTGATTACTTTATATATTTAATATATTCTTATAAACTTGATAACAGCCTACCTTACATGGCACCTTTTATGCCAAGTGTAATGATAACTTCATAATGAACAGATTATAGAGCAACAAACTTAGCTTTAGCGGGGAATTACAGGACGATAATTGACCTTAACTATATATTATTTCTGGCAGACGTATATAGGCATGCTATATATAATCATTCTCTTTATCACAATATCTGATGATATCTCAGCATTCCATATCCGTCTTCGATATATAGTGATTCATAATTGTGTCTGTCATCATCGTGGTGCATCACGAGCCATATTCGTCCATTATATTGCTTGCCCATCATCCCCATGTCATACAAAGTGAGAAATGCTTCCTGTTCTTATTAGCACGTTTAATTCAATTTACCAGCCATCTTCCTCTGTTTGAGATATGAACGAGGCAGTTTTTTTATTAAATATTGTTGTCAAACAATTCTGTTGGAATTTGAAGCTGGTTGCATGATCCTGATGATGTCCGAATTGCACCCTTGGTATTGTCTTGTTTCCGACTTGCCCAAAATAATGGTGTGACAGAAACTTTAGAGATTTTAAAAAGTTTTTTTAAAACACCGATGCCAAACACTTGTGGTATGATCTAAATTTCGTTGGATAACGTGTGAATTACAACCTAACCCAAAGCATCTATTGAAGTCCAAGTCCAAGCTATTATGTCCCATGCGTTACCGACCAGACAGACAAATGATATAATGTATATTTTGTAAATTTATGTTCATGATTCTATAATACAATTTAATATTACGTAGTAGCATATATATGGAACATACA